CATGGCTTAAGTGCTGAGACAAAAAAAAAAGCAGCCAATGATCCAATTAGGGTAATGCATATTCTTGACATATAATTCATCTATATTGTATTATTGTCATATTTAGTATATCTTACCTACTGAAGTATAATTGGCATATAATATGTGGCAGAGAGCCATTAATACTAACTAAAGATGATAACATTAAATACTTATTGAATACTTTTGTACCTTGCACTTCACTAAGTGCTTTACATGCATTTTCATTTAATCTTTAATTTGTGATTTAGGTCCTATCATCATCATCATCATCAAAGATTAACTGCTTGCCCACTTATAATCTGGCACTAATCTTGTCTGCTAACTCTTAATGCAAGCTTCTCTCTATTGGTTAGTGCTTTGGTTGACTGGAATCAGTAAGGAAATGAACTACAGGAATATTCCTGTCTCAGTTTAGAGAGATGTACTAGTGTATCATAAAAGTTAAGGACAGGAGCTGTGCACCTGCACTGTCCAGTGTAGTAGGTACAAGTTGTACTAATTGGGTTAACATTAGGCTAAGAACCAGTTCTACCATCTATTAGATATTCTAATGGAAAATTACTTCTCTCTATGCTTTTCATATAAAAATGGGGATAATAACAGCATCTAATAGAGCCACTGTAAAAATAAGCAAATTGATACATGTAAAAGGCTCAGAGCGCCTTCTACCCATAATGAGATCTCTTTACACTTACAAGGAGAAAATCAGCAAGACTTAAGTGGTACACATGATTGTAGAGTCCTAGAAGGAGGAGGCGTGCAGTAAGTCCAAGGTAAGAGCTTAAATGACTAGAAAGATTACTCACAATACCATAAAGAAATGTGAACAATGGCACAGTTCAGGTTAATTCTTTGTAGCATTATTCTTACAAACAAATGAAGATAAACACTTCAAACCTCCCATCAGTAGGAGGCTGGTCACAGCCATCTAACAGGTCCTTAGGGCAGCTGCTGAATGAGGGAGGGAGGCTTTGTGCACTAATATGGAATTGTCCGTATTGTATACTTTCTAAGTAGAAAGCCAGGTGTGGAACAGTATGTATAGTGTGTTACTACTTTCTAAAAGGAAAGTAAAGAGGCAGGAAATGTATACTATATATATGCTTGACTAAGTACGGAATGTATCTAGAAAAAGTATCACAAAACTTCTTAGCTCCAAGAGAAGTGAGTGACTAAAAATACAAGAATGAAAGAGTGCATCTTCATTGTATTTCCATCTTTACCTTTTGAATGTTGAATTCCATAAATCTAATATAATAATATAAAATGTAAATATTGAAATTAGTCCCTTCCTGGGATATATGAAGAGGCAGATACTCCAGGGAAGATGAATTAAGGTTGGAGCCCTGACAATGCTCCAAGAACTAAAAGGGTTTATTAGGTTCAGGGAAACATTTCCACAGGCACCAGGTTCTCTCGTCTCCCACTTTCAGGCTGTTAAACCATCTAAGAAACAAAAGATCCTTCTGTTTGAAAACTGCATTCTCCTTATAGAAATAAATATGCAAATCAATAATAAAATAAGGCCTATCACAGAGGAATAAACTAGGAGAACTAGAATTGGTGACAAGAGCTGGTCAGGTCGGTGTCAGACATGAAAAGATAAACTGTTCTGTTTTGTTTTGTTTTTTGAGACAGAGTCTCACTGTGTAGCCCAGGCTGACCTCAAACTTGCGGTGGTCCTCTTGCCTCAGCCTCCTAAGTGCTGGAATAGAAAGATTTAACAGGGGCCAAGTGTCTAGAGGGAGAGCCAAAGGGCAGTGCAGGAGTGATGGTATGTTTAGAGAGCAGCAGGTCATCTCCTGTGGTCAGGAAGCTGTGTGTTTAAGTATGAGTTTGAGGAAATGGCAGGACCATGTAAGAAACCATACTCAAGCATACTGTGGCTTCTGTGATCCTTCCTTGTGGATGAATGGAGTGGTTTAACAAACAAGTGTACATTGAGGGAGAAGAGTTGACCTCCTGATATATAGCCTGAGAGTGGGTCATGTAGGGCTGAGAATGTGAGAAAAGATGTGAGGGACAGGCAGTTTAACAGCCTTCGGGTACATGAGAGTTAGATGGAACCAGACTGAGGTTAAGGATTCAGGAGAGATGTTTGATGAATAAACCAGGAAGCCCTGGGCAGCCAGTCTGGCTATTAACCTTTGGTTCTTCATGTTTATATGGCTCAGCAACTATTTTTGCATATGGCCAAAGCCACTAACTAGACTCTAACTGCACCAGGAGTCTCTGTGGTCTGCACCAGGCTCTCTTGCCTCTGGCCAGGTGGTTCACTCGTATGTGCCTTGTTCTGTGATGGGTAGAACTGCATGCAGAGCTGGCTTCAAAACTCAGATGAGAGATAAGCTCAACTTCCTGATTATTTATTTCTCATGTTTGCAAGAGTGCCTCTCCTAACCTTGGGTCGAAAACAGCTTTTTGTAGTTATGCATGTATGTATGTAGGTATGTATGTATGTATGTATCTATATATCTATCTGCTAAAAATGTGTATTTACTTCCAACTGATTTAGGGCTCCCTCTCTACATGCCAAGAGTTATACTAAGTGCTTGGAGTTAAATACTAAGATAAATAGGGTCCCCTATGAGGCCCTTTTTGGTGGGTAGAAAGAAGGGGCAGAACAGATGCAAACACAAAGAAATGTTAGAAAATTTAGTGTATCTCATAATAGAACTCTATTTGAATTATTCTGGGAGCCTAAAACAGGTTATTTCATCGGAACAGGAAAGCAGGGAGCTAGTGAAACAGCGATGTCAAATTGTCAGGCGAAGGTAACCAGGTAGAGGGACAGAAAGAGTGTTTAGGCAGAAGTGTGTAGGCACAGTGAGAGCAAAAGCACCAAGCTGAAAAGCAATTGATTGCTGTGTTTGTGGAACTAAAAATCTATCTGGTTCAGCCCAAGCATGAGGCCCAGGAAAAGAAGAAGCCTGGAGAGATGGTTCTCAGGAAGATTTTTTGCAAGACTTCATCCTTGTACATAGAAGTGGGAAGTGGGAAGTTTTAAATTCTGAGAAAATGGAATATGGAGAGGATTTGGCATGGGAGTGAGGGTCAGAGTCTGAAAGAAGCTCAGCTGGGCTGAAACACATAGCTTAGAGAGCAGAGGCCGAAAGGGAAGCTAAGAATTTATGTTTCAGCTTTAGGACAGAGAGGTTAAAATGGAAGAGTCACAAAATGACCCATACATTTATGAAGATGTGCCATAGTTCTGGATAATCATTAAAGGGACAAGGACTAGAGAAATGCAGGAAAACTGGTCAGAAAGCAAGCCTCCTAATTTTGATGAACAATGACGGTGGCTTACACTTGCAGGTGACAATATGTCAGGAGGTAGGTCACAGCTATCAATTGGTGCCTATTCCAAATAATTATTTTTTAAAAAATTATGACAGTAAATAATTTAAAATCTTTTCTTTGATTCTGTGTCTTTTATCCACCCACACACGTCCTCTACATTTTTTATATCAACCTTCTTGTCCTTGGAGAAACCTCCTTCACCAGGACTGGCTGTTCCAAGGCATCTTGTAGTCCACAAGTGTAGCTCATACCTCACCACATCTGCTCATAATTACTGGGGTAGTTGTGTGTCTCCTCTGCTAAACTTTATACTTCCCAGGGACAGGGATTATTTCTTGATGCTATCAAGACACTGGTGTCTAATGCATCAATGCCTGATACATAGGAGGTACTACATAATGTGTTGAATAGATAATATATTAAGTCAATTATTCAGATAAGTTGGAGTTATATATTTTGGCAGGAAAAATCAGAATTTGTTTATTCACTTCAAGGTATCACTCTATATTTGTAATTTCTTAAACAAATTAAAGAGATGTATCGCCTGATGAAGTACCACATGCCTATAATACAGCTAGCTACTCAGGAGGCTGAGGCAAGAAGATCACGAGTTTGAGGGTAGCTTGGGCAACTTAGCGAAGACTATGTCTAAAAAAAGAAGAGAGGAACAGGTAGTTTTTAAAATAAATATTTAGAAATGGTGAGCTCAGTTCTCTGGATGTTGATTTTTTTTTTAAATTGATACCAGGGATCGAACTCATGACCACCTCCTTGCAAGGCAGGTGCATATGCGGCTGAGCTAAATCCCCAGCCCCTGGCTGTTGATTTTGAAACAATATCAAATTGCTTAGCTTAGAGTTGAAAAGCCCTTCAGACTTAGCCCCTCCTCCGAGTAATCATTCCTTCCAGTGCTATCTACTTGTTGGAAGGCTTAGGCACCATCAGCCTGTCTTTTGTCCTCTGTATTCACCCTTGTTTTGATGTGCTTGTGTTATAAGAAATACTGTCAGAAAGCATCCTCCATTGTTACTTTCCCTAGTATTAAGGATCCTGGTCTTCCACAGCTTGGTCCATTGCTTCCTTTCCCTGGGTAAGGAAACTTACCTGGTGGAACAGATCATCCCAGTCTGGTCTTGAGCTGCATCTGGTTCTCAGCAGTCTCCTTCTTTACAGTTAGCACACCATCTCGACAGCTCAGCCCTGATTTTGCACTGTCCTGTTTTTTGGTTGTCTCATAGGTTTGGTCTTACCTGTCTGTTGAGGCAGCCTTCCAGAACAAAGACCATGGGACAGTGGTTGCCCTCCCCAACCCCATCAATTCAGGATGGTGTGTGTGATGGCAGAAGCCAAGTGGTAGCTACTCCTGTAATGTGCATGTTGCTTGGCCTGATTAACCCTGGAGGTCCATTGAGGACTCTTGTAGCGACTCCAATCCAAAGAGTTAAAGCAATGAAGGTTGTGATTCTGATGAGTGCCATTGCATCTCTTCTTTGTGGGGGAGCTCTCTTCTAACTCCATGACTGACCCACTATCCTGACTGAATCCATGAGAACTTGACCTGCATTGAGAGTCAGGAATGGAAAGCCCAGACGGAGCAGCTTTGTGATGTTTACAGTGTTTCTTTTTATTATCCTCCTGGTTTTCTCACCATTCAGTTTATCTGTTTTCCCTCCTGTTAGGACTCCTTCCTGCCGTCTCTTTCTCAGTCATTTTGAATCTGGCTTCGTTGAAGACTGAGGTTATGAAGTCCATTCTAGATGGCCTTGCAGACACCACCTTCCGCACCATCACCACAGACCTCCTCTACGTGGGCTCAAATGACATCCAGTACGAAGACATCAAAGGTGACATGGCATCCAAATTAGGATACTTCCCACAGAAATTTCCTTTAACTTCGTATAGGGGCAGTCCCTTCCAGGAAAAGATGACCGCAGGAGACAGTGCCCAGCTGGTTCCAGCAGACCCAGGGAATCTTACCGAATTCTACAACAAGTCTCTGTCATCCTACAAGGAGAACGATGAGAACATCCAGTGTGGGGAGAACTTCATGGATATGGAGTGCTTCATGATCCTGAACCCCAGCCAGCAACTGGCCATTGCAGTCCTTGCACTCACGCTGGGCACTTTCACAGTTCTGGAGAACCTGCTGGTCCTCTGTGTCATCCTCCACTCCCGCAGCCTCCGATGCAGGCCTTCCTACCACTTCATCGGCAGCCTGGCAGTGGCAGATCTCTTAGGGAGTGTCATTTTTGTCTACAGTTTCGTTGACTTCCATGTGTTCCACCGAAAAGATAGCCCCAATGTGTTTCTGTTTAAACTGGGTGGGGTCACCGCCTCTTTCACCGCCTCCGTGGGCAGCCTGTTCCTCACGGCCATCGACAGGTACATATCAATTCATAGGCCCCTGGCCTATAAGAGGATCGTCACGAGGCCCAAGGCTGTGGTGGCCTTCTGCTTGATGTGGACCATAGCCATTGTAATTGCCGTGCTGCCTCTCCTAGGCTGGAACTGCAAAAAACTACAATCTGTTTGCTCAGACATTTTCCCGCTCATTGACGAAACCTACCTGATGTTCTGGATTGGGGTCACCAGTGTGCTGCTGCTGTTCATCGTGTATGCATACATGTACATTCTCTGGAAGGCTCACAGCCATGCAGTCCGCATGATTCAGCGTGGAACTCAGAAAAGCATCATCATCCACACATCAGAGGATGGCAAGGTACAGGTAACCCGGCCAGACCAAGCCCGAATGGACATTAGGCTGGCCAAGACCCTAGTCCTGATCCTGGTGGTTTTGATCATCTGCTGGGGCCCTCTGCTTGCCATCATGGTGTACGATGTCTTTGGGAAGATGAACAAGCTCATTAAGACGGTGTTCGCCTTCTGCAGTATGCTCTGCCTGCTGAACTCCACGGTGAACCCCATTATCTATGCTCTGAGGAGCAAGGACCTGAGACATGCTTTCCGGAGCATGTTCCCCTCGTGTGAAGGCACTGCACAGCCTCTGGATAACAGCATGGGGGACTCGGACTGTCTGCATAAGCATGCAAACAACACAGCCAGTGTTCACAGAGCTGCAGAAAGCTGCATTAAGAGCACGGTCAAGATTGCCAAGGTGACAATGTCTGTGTCCACAGACACGTCTGCCGAGGCTCTGTGAGCCTGATGCCTCCCTGGCAGCACAGGAAAAGAAATGCATTTTTTTTTAAAGCTCAAAATCAAGAGGAGTCTGTCGTCTCATCAGTTATATTTTTTTTAAGTTTACCATGCTCAGTGAAAAGGTGATTGTCACCATGCTCATTTATCAGTTTGCTGACATTTTAATAGTTTAGGTACTCAGACTCCCTTCTCCAGGGGTTTACAGTGAAGAAAGCTTGTTGCTTAAGTGACTGAATAATTCTTGAGAGTCTCAGTGAAATAGAAAGGAAACCTTTGGCTATACAATTTGAAGTCCAAGTACCCATAGAAAATGCCATCAAATGAGTAATGCCTTTGTAATCACAATTTTCCTTCTTATGTGACATGTATCTGTTCATAGTATCAGAGATGTCCATTTTTATAACAGTTGTAGTACTAAACTAGAGGTATTTTGTAAAATGTATTGTGTCTCGTGAGTTGTATATCAGTGTTTACTATATGTTATTTATATTTGTCTAGTTTAGCAAAACTGAAAGGTAGATTTTTATGGGAGCAGTGAAACACAGCAGTGGATAGATGCCAATGAGACCACTTTTTAAAAATTATTGTCCATGATGTTTTAGAAACCTTAATATTTCTTCAAATATCTCCATCTGAATTTGACACAGAAATAACCATAAAGGTTTATTTTTCTGATAAAAGAACAAGAAGAATTTGAAGATTTTCCAAAGTGTTGAGCAGAATTTATTGACACGAAAAATTTTGGTAAGCCCTGTATTTTCATAGAAGGACATTTTTCGTCTCCTGCACCATCACTGTTCTATTGGGTAATGGAACCCAATAGCTATTTCAGAATGGAAATGAGAAAGCATATTGACTTTTTTAGGCTGACATCTCTGACTTTCTTTAGTTGTTAGCTATTACTGGACCTCTTAAAATAGCATGTGTCAATCTTAATGTATATTGTTGTCACTGTGCAGTTGCTGTTTAACTTGAAGAGTATTGCATTCTTATATTCCAGGTTTAAGTAGATTTTATGCCTGGTGGCCAAACAAAAGTTCTACTTTTTTTAATTGAAAAAATATTGTCTGGTTAAGTAAAATTATATTGTGTGTGAGTGTGAATGTACATGTGTATATGTGTATGTTTTCTATCGTGTAACTGTTACTGCAGTGTCATAAAGTGAGAAAACTATGACCAAGTGTAAACTGTACCATTTGCTGCACACTTGCACATGAATGCAGTTTCTAAAATTGAGTTCTTCCAGAAATCTTGTTGACAAAAAATTCTGATTATAAAGCTTTCAGAAAAACTTGTCCACCTTACGAGATTGAGTCAAGTATTGCTAAATTAGCCTTTTGGTATTCCATAAGACCAGTGTGTAGTAAGGGATAATCAATAATGGATATTCAAGTAAACATTTGTGTTTACAGTGCTGTGGAAAAATGAGAGTGTTTTGATTTATGAGCACTTAGTGTTCATAAAGTAGAGATGTAGATCATTAAAATGAAGATGATTCTAAAAACCCCCAATAGTAGCATTTTTCAATTGTGCATGTAGATAGTATGATCCCAGTTTTAGTAGCATTATACATGCCATGCTGAAACAGGACTACCAAGTCTAGGTCATGTGGTTAAGAAGGCTTAATCAAGAAGTGATGAGACAGGCAATGATGAACTAGCACATTTAGAATTGAGGTATGAGTACCATATACTCAACTTGGGCTTTGTCCAGATGCCCTTCATGAAGATAAAGATGGCTTTCCTTCTTTGGATACGCCAGTCTCATATTCCTTAATGGTACCATGAGTGCTTAGAATTAGGCCCTTTTCCAGTAAGGAAAGATAGTGCTTAAGAAGCTACCTGATCCTGTCAAAGTTTACTTACAATCTTTCCTCTTATACAGATAAATGGCTCCTACAAGATACTGGGGCCTGCATACCATTAAAGGAAATGTAGAGCTATCTTCTGTCTTGTCATTTCTTGCTCTAGTGATACCAAGCTGCCTGATGGGGCAGGTTATGGTCTGAGATGGAATGTGCCCTGTGGATCTTGCTGGGATATCGCTAGAAGCTAGAATCTGCCTGCTTGTTTTCTCTTTTTACCTTTCTGTGATGTGCAAATGAGGGTTCAGAGCGCTGGAGTGAAAAAAAATGTTTAGAAGGAGATAAGATTATTGACAAACAGAATTTGTCAGGTTCTAGTTTCCACTTAAGAATTGCCAGTCTTCTGCATCATCCTGAATATTAATCAATGTATCTTAGGGTTCACCGGGCAGTACCAAATCTCTTAATACAACTGTAAAGACCTGGTGGAGATGAAATTCTTATAGGCATAAAAAGTTCCAGGATTTCTTTTTGAAACTGTGTTAGTGCAAATGCCATGTAGATTTATTAGTGTATTATTCTTTCAAAACCTAAATGGTATATAAAAATTAAGGGACAATGGGGCTGATAGCACTAAACTTGGTGCTTACTGATATTCTAAGAAATATCTGTGAAATATCATCATATATGTGTTTTACCACCTTCATTTAAAAACATTTAACATTAGTTGGATTCATTCTGACACTTCCCATATCATTTCCTAATCCAACTGACTAAAGTATTCTCCCCCATGAATATACTCATTAGAATTATCATTCATTAGCATCATTCATTAAGTAATCCCTTAATTAGATCCATTAATTTAAATACGATTAAAATTTAAGTATTTGTAGGCTCTGGCAACAGAGTTATCCACTTTCCTCCGAGGATGACGTTGGTCCTGACCATGCATTTTGCCATCATTCATCTTTAGAAAGGGCCAAATTCCTAACCTACTCAACTGTTTAGAATCATGATGATTCAGACCTTGACTGTTTCATTTATACAAGTAAGTCTGTCTCCAGGAATCAACTTATTTTTCACTGCATATTGAATACATGTAAGAGAAATGTGGATCTGAGAGGTACTAAGACAGGTGCCTACAACTGAGAGGATTCCCAACCTTTCCTGGTAGCTTGAGCCAGGTCCTTTTGTTATTAAATGTCAAGGAATTTTGGCTGCCTAAATCCACACTGCAGGAAACAGGCCCAATAACCAAATAAAAGCCAGGCCCTGGATGAGTAGCATTCTAATTATTTTCCTGTTCAATATTTTCTGCCATTCTATATCCATAAAAGTGATTACCAATATCATGCACAAAATTGGATTATTCACACTCTTTAACTGTATATTTGTATAATATTTTAAAATCTCCTAAATGCTGGGCAATGGCCATTCACAATTGTTTTGCACTGGCCTTCTGATGAAATGTTGACAATGCCTATTGTAATATAGACAAAACATTCTCTCTACTGATTTGGGCTGAATGTATGTAAATAGGTTTTTTAAAAGCCAGATGTTTAAGCAATGGATTACCAATCAGTAATTTTCAGATAGGAGAGTTTCTTTACATTGCTGTGACATCCTAAAAGCTCTCTTTATGTAAACTTACTGGACTAGGCCTCCTGGGGGTCAGAGTCCCCAAGAAAGGAAGCTTTTTCTTGTAATAATATGAATTAATATACCAGATTACCTAGATTCTTATTCCAATGTTTCAAGTGGAAAACATAACTCCTTACTGTCTGTAAATCTAACATTATTACTTTTCCTCTTAGAAGAATATTGTATTGTTAGATGTTTGTTGAGCTGGTAACATCCTTGCAACCGCTGCAATATCTTCGTTAGTAATCTGTATAATACTTTGTATGCAAGTACTGGTAATATTGTTATTAAATGTAGCTCCAGTCATTAAATTGCTAGAGTAAAGTAGTACTTCTGTAATATTTACAATGTATTACAGTATATTTTATTTTGTTGGTGTAATGTGTTATTTATTCAAGAGAAAACATTTCATCATGTCTATTGTCTAAAGTTACCTGGAATCAAATAAAAATTCTAGATTATCTTGAAGAACATAAAATGCCTTTTAATTCTGCCTTATTTTATAGTTCAATGGTTAAATACCTGGGACATATATTCTAAAACATTGCTGAATAATTAATTTGTTCCTAAAAAAGCAGTTATGACTTTACTTGAAAGTCAAGACAAGTTGCATTAATGTATTTATTTTCAACACAGGAAAAAATGATGCAAAAAGCCAGAATTTGGGACAGGAGTACAGCTCAATGGCCTAAGCACCTGCCTGGCAATTGCAAGGTCATGATTTCAATTCCTGGTATAAAAAAAAGCGCCAGAATTTACACAATACAGCAGAAATGGCCGCTATCCCATTTTTGAACTACTGTTATTTCACTAAATATTTAAATGATTTTGCCAGACATTCAAACCAAATTCATCAGGATTTTCCAATAAATTGAGATTTAGCAGACATAAAATATACAATGTAAATCTAAGAAGTTTACAGACAGATATTCTGAGTCACATGAGAGATAAACATTTTAAAAATAATTTGTACAAGTTTACATAATTTCTATTTGAAAATAAGAATAAGCCAGGCATGTAGCACATGCCTGTAGCCCTAGTACTCAGGAGGCCAAGGCAGGAGGATTGCTACAAGTTTGAGACCAACCCAGATTCCAAAATGAAGTCAAGGTTAGCCTGAACTACATAGTGAGACTCTGTCTCAAAAAATCCCCCAAAGAATAATAAATTTTAAAAGTATTATAATGACATTTAAATATTTCTGTTTGAAATAAAATGTTTTCAATCAATTTGAAGATGTTTTACATTTTTCAAATAATGAACTTGTGAATTATTTTTGTTTTTTAATAATAAATCAAGATTGCCTTTTCTGCCTCCTTTATAATACTGTAGCTAGCTGCTTAAGCAGAATATGTCTAAAAAGCAAATGACATGCATTCTTAATTGTGAAATTTTATGCCAGGGCTTCCTAAGAGAAAGATACTTATTTCGACATTTTCATGCTGTATTTTAAAACTTCCAGACTGATCCTTCAGTCAACATATGTTGCCATTTATATTGAAAAACATATTTAAAGTAAAGTTGAAATAGAATATCAATTAAGATGTGCAGAAATTTTACTGTGCCCCCATGAGTGATTCTAGCTGGGAAAATTCCACCCTCTAGAACACTATGATGAGTTTTCCCTGGATTGGAAGTGACATATTTGAAGTTATTAGCTCTATATTAGGTTATAGAAGATGAACAATGGACATCACAGTTTCCACTTAATTCCCTGTCCTGGAACACTGATGGATCAGACAGTACAGTGCATATGTCTGATTCGCCTGGGAGGTGATGAAACCTGGAATGGGTGGGCCTCAGAACATTTTAGACATACTGGTCACTGAGTTTCTATTATAATCACATTAGCAGTTCTGGGTATGTCAACTTTCTACTACCATGACAAAAATACCTAAGACACCCACCTTAAAAGGAAAAAAGGTTTATTTTTGACTTTCCAATCCAGAGGTTTCATCCATGGACGCTTGACCTTGTTGATTTGAGCCTGTGATAGCACAGTACTTCGTAGCAGGCAGCCTGTTCACCATGGCATGGAGAAAGCAAAGAGAGACTGGAAGGGGTCAGGTGGCAGTATCCTTTCAGGAGCAAGCCCTGAGTGGTCTTAACTTCCTTTCACCCCAGACTCTACCTCCAAAAGTTTCCACCACTTGCCAGTAGTGCCACAGACTGAGATCTTGCCTTCAACACAGGGGTTTTTGGGGATATTAAAGATTGAACTACGACAATGACACTGTAATGTTAAGTAATGAGCATGTGGGACTACAGGATACGTAGCTCCCAAAGGACTGGTGGGAACAAACTGGCAAGTGGCAAGACAAAATGCACAGTTTGATTTATTTTATATCGAGAGCTGGGCACTATAAATACATCCCAGATCTATAGTAGCTATTTTTCCAACCTTTAGGCTACTTCCTAAAGGAATGTTTTCACTTCAATTCACTTAATTTTTTTTTTAAATCTTGTTTTTAAACATTTTATATAACATGAGGCATCTAGGAAATACTAATCAACTAATCAATGAAATACAACTTGTTAAAATTTTAACACACAATTTAGAAATTGAGAACCTATCTTGTACTTGGCACTGATAACAGTGGTTAGCATTTATTTCATTTCTTATGAGATGGATCATTTCATTTAATTGCTTCAAGAAGTATAATTATCTCCATTTGGTAGTGACTTGCCCAAGGTCACAGAACTAGTTAAGTGTTATAGATTGGATTTTCTCTAAACTACCAGATTAGATTTGAGATCCGTAAGCTAATTTCCATTTAGTGAATTATACTATGCATTTATCCTGTTTAATTCAAGCAATTACCATGGTATGTTGAGTAGATACGATGATAAATCATCAAATCATGTAATATCTAATAAAAGGATGTCAACACTTTAAAGAGATTATCTCAATGCAATAGAGAGGAATATAGGAAACAGCAAGACAATAACATTGGCCATTTAGGTGGTACCTAAACAGCATTCAGGTACCACCTCAGCAGAGCACTGAAGACAAAGTAGGCACTGGCTTGGAAAAGAAAGGTGAAAATGACATAAAGGAAGGGACAGGGAGAGAAATGATAACGGGGTTGGGGCAACAAGTGGAGATGTATAAGAGTATGATATGTCTGTGAGTGTCTCATGGTCTCGGGTGGCTAGGGCACGGAACCTGAAGAACAAGGATGAAGGCCACAGGCCAGGTCACCAAGGGCCGTACATACCAAGGGTATTCATTTCTCTTCATGTACCTACACTCTAAGCAAATTCATAATGTAAGCCAAAAAGATCAAAGTTTATGCAGCCTTTTTCCTAGTTCATCTAATTCAAAGACATTCTTACAAAGGATTATATACATATGTAAAGCTATTATTTCCTGCCTAGTTCAATAAAACACTCAGAGGTTGGGGTGGAAACTCCATATTTTTTTCTCCATAAGCTGATCACATATCTTCTTGCTTGATGACATTACTATCACTGCAAGAAAGGGCATTATTCACTTGGAACACAGGGACATCAATTAGCGCCTCAAACAGAGCAGTCATCAGTCACAAAGTGTTCGTGCTCATTATTCACCTGGCTGGGGCAAACCCTCTGATCTCAGGATGACAGAGACCTTATTGAACACCAACCCTTGGGGCCTCTAACCCTCTGCCCTCTTGACCCCTTTGTAAATAAGATTATTGCTGCTGCTACTGCCTGATTTTCCTGAAGGAATACAGAAATCCTTCAGGGAACAAATAGATAAGGAGTAAGGGGGAGAGTATTTTAAGACTGCCCCAAAATAGCCCAATCCTATACCTGAACTAAGTGCAATTATTTTATTCGTATTGAATAGCAGACTGCTTTTCAGTTGAGACTTTGAGTTTATAAAGCAAAGAAAAAAACTGAAGACATTTTTGAATTATGATATGAGGAAGAGAATAAAACTTTGAAATATTCTCATAGTACCTCTTTTCCAAATTAATTACTTATATCACAATTTTTGCAAAGATTTTATTGTACATATATTCACATATATTGTATAAACCTTGCACTTTTTTAAGACAGAAGATTTTTCTTACATTTTGGCAGATTTTTTTTCACTTGCATCTATGAACCTAACAATAATTTTTGTGCTTTTTGTGCTTCATTCATGATCTCTCATTATTCTAGAAATGGATATAGACCCCTTAGCCATTCATTTCTGTGTGTTTGTCTTGTTAAATCTCAGTTACTTTTGAGGGGCTGGGGGACTAGGGACCAAACGCCAGGCAAGTGCTTATGCCGCTGAACTAAATCCCCAGCCCAAATCTCAATCTTCTAACCTGAGTGGTTATGAACAATTGTCTTATCTGGTCATCCAGTGTGAATATTTTCATGTGTTAATTTTGTTCCATTGACTGGGAGAATTCAAGACACAAAACTTTAAAAACATCCCTCACTTCATAGCTGAAGGACAATTTATGTATTTCTTCACAATTTGCCTAAGTTAAAGCTATCCAAATATCCCTAGGAATAGGTCACACTTACTGTAAAATGTTATCTTCCAGGAATGGCCTCATGAGAGAGAGGAATGTGATAAGGTGTTTGGTTAATACAGCAAATATGGTTCACAAGGATCTTAGCATACATTGCCCTCCCAGAGAGCCCTCCAAGTAGATGGAGCATATGTGAATGTTCTCTCCTCAGAACCCTAGTGCTGACAACCATTATAATATCCTAGGAGAAGATGAAAAACAGAGTTCATACATAAAGGGAGGACTGTGGGGAATATTCTCCAACAGCAATCCTGATCACTCCAAAAGCATAAGGGTTCTTTGTTCTAATCACTTTATGTCCAAGCAGAGGGAAATAGGAAAAGAAATATTGATCCTTAAAAACTGATTATGAAAGTAAATTCTTTAATAGGTGGCCTCAGGAGGTGCCTGAAGTAGAACAGGAAGCTTCTTGAGCTTTTGCATGCATATCAGCAGACTGCCCTTGATGCCTCAGTGCTAGAAACAATGCTAGGACGGGTGTCCACCAAGAGAACTGACTTCATGATTCCATTTCTTGTGGTTTCTCCTCCTGCCTTGGATAGGTGCCTAATAACACAAGCACATGCTGGCATTTTTAAGACTGAAGAACACTCAAAGTCTAGGGATGATTTGACCTGTGTGAGGGAGGCAGTCTTTAACTTAAATATAGCTTTTTGTCTTATACAGAAAGATAAGAATCAATACACTGCCAGTGAAGAGTTGTGAACCAAGGGCCTTGGCAGCAAGGCTTGTGCCATTGTTCCTGGGACCTCATCTCCGACAGTAAACATACAAACCAGTCTCAAAAAGGAGCTCTCTACTCTGTGTCTAGGGCAAGAATATTTGGAATGTACCTAATGGATGTTGGGCAGTGTGCCAAGAGAAACTCAAACAGTGAACACAAGCAGATTTACTATGCTTTGAACACTTTTTTGAAAGTATGGCATATTTTTCATGGCACTGTATACTTGTGCTGGAACTCTGA